AGCATCTCTCTAAAGGCACTAGCATGCCTTTGCTTAAAGTATATGGTATTGATACTACAAATGGCCCTTTTCATATATCAGGTTAAATTTAACAGTAATTGCAATTAATTAAATACACCTTATGCAGTAACAATCTTCAAAAAGAACTGAAGTTTCTCTGTATGGTATGATTCCCTGGTGATTACATAGTGCAGGTCAGGGAACCCAAGGGAGTTTCATGAAGGAAACAGCTTTCAATCATCCACATCAGTGAGAGCTGTGCATGGGTCACAGAATGGAACTCAGCCTCATTAACAACAGAAAGCAATGGTTGTAAGACCTTAAAAAAGCAAAGAGTGAACCCTTCAGGCTGCAATCAATAGCTCTCAGCAGCAGCAGAAGCTCTTATGTGATTATGGCTTAAAATACAAATTACTGTTTTATTGACAACAGTCTTTTTTCAGTGATCAATAAACTCTCTCCCAAATCTTAAATTTTGAAATTCAGAACAAAAATCTTGCAAAAAAATTCTTACCTTAGCATTGTATTTTGAGTTCATGGAGAACATTGCAGAGAAATGTGGAATTACAATGACTTAGTATGCAAAAGATTTATTACCCTAAATTCAGAAATACATTTTTAAGGAGGTGTGAAACAAATATTTTTCTTTCTCAATATACCTATGTATCAGATGATAAATTATTTTAAGGACCCAATAAAAAGCTTATTCTCTCCACATGTACCTGTATTTGTGACTTTCTTTTAAAATCACAACTACCTTTAATGATTTCAGAGCATATAAAACATGTTTTCATTTGGCTAGTAATTATGCCATTTCATTTTATTAAATTCAGCTATCTCGAGGTTAATTTAAAATCATCACTGCTTTCCTGGATTCTTCTAGGGAATTCCATAGTTCGGGAATTCAGCAATAAACTGTTTTACGTCACCTAGGTCAGTACTTATCTTACCAGAGCAGGAGGAATCAGACCAAGGGATTGAATTAAATAACTTAAAATGCTTAATATTCTAGCAGTCAGCTCCTAAGGACCTCTGAGCATTAGAAAAACACATTTAGCTCTGCTGACATATTAATTCCAAGACAACAGTTATGAGTCTACTGGGGATTGGCCAAAAAGTTCGTTCGGGTTTTTCTGTAAGTTGTTATGGAAAAACCCGAACTTTTTGGCCAACCCAGTAAAAGCTGTGTCTGGATGAATCATATTTAAAATCCGCTTATTCCAGATTAAAGTCAAAGGGAGTTTTAATAAACAATTGGCTGTTTATTAGCAATAAGATGAACAATGCTACTCTCCCCTCATTGTTTTCTTCATCTTCTTTCATGATTCCTCCATGTCAATACAGCGTTGTTGGCTTAAAAAATGCGTAAGAAAAGCAAACTCTTTGATATGAACTTCAGCTTTGTAAGTGATTTGAAAGAGGCACTTTCGGTCTTCTATATTAGTACTATAAATTTTATAGTATAAAGAAATGTTGGTCATATCAATGCAAGAAAATACAGTGTATAAATGTCTAGTGTTCTTCAATATATACCATGTGATTTTCCAAAAGCTTAACTTTTCTGTGAAAAACTTACTTTCTTTTGTGTGGACCAAGTATTTTAAATGGTCATTAAAAGGCAAAAAATTCTGCATTCAACTTTCACTGACAGATCTAAGTATAATTTTCAATAGATTGGTTCAGCATGCGAAATGGTGGGTTTCATAGACTGTGACGACTATATAGACCTCAAACTATCACTTACCTCAAACTTTCTTTCTTTCTTTTTTTTTTTTTTTTTTTTTGCGGTTTGAGGGCCTCCCACTGCCTCTCCCATTGCAGAGCACAGGCACCGGACGCGCAGGCTCAGCGGCCATGGCTCACGGGCCTCACCGCTCTGCTGCATGTGGGATCCTCCCGGACCGGAGCACGAACCCGTGTGCCCTGCATCGGCAGGCAGACTCTCAACCACTGCGCCACCAGGGAAGCCCAAACTTTTATTTTTTTGATGGTTAAGAACTTAGGCCAGGAAAGGAGAAATGGGCAGCACATGGTGATACAGGAAGGCAATGGCAGAGATGGGACTCAAAACCAAGTTTCATTTCCATTGCACCATACTTCCCCAACATGTATTTGTAGTAGCAAAATGTGTACTAGAATAATATAGCAGAATTTCTAGTGAAAATATTATTGGATCAGTATTATTGTGAACACAGTATGTGTTTTATTCATATTGACTACTTGGCCTCTTCAACTATGTGTTTGGCCAGAGTTACCTATCCCTTAGTCTACTTCTCGCCTTATTTTTTGTCCTATTTTAATAAAGCTAGAACTGAACTCTCACAAACAGAAAGGCAAATAAGTGAAAGAGCTTGCTGGTAGCCATGGCAACATATACTGTAGCATATCTCCAACCTCTCAATGGTGGACTCAGTTAAAACCATAGAACACACTACTGTATATAAAATAGATAACTAATAAGGACCTACTGTATAGCACAGGGAACTCTACTCAATACTCTGTTATGGTCTATATGGGAAAAGAATCTAAAAAGGAGTGGATATGTGTATATCTATGGCTGATTCACTTTGCTGTGCACCTGAAACTAACACAACATTGTTAATCAACTATACTCCAATAAAAATTAAAAAAAAAAACATAGCAAATGTTTGCACACTTGGCATCCCACTTGAGCTAATCCTGCATCCATTGGATTAAGAAATCTCTAGGGCATTTGTCAGACTGGCATGTGGCATGAAGACTAAAGAGTCTTCTGAGTTTGTAGTAAGTCTCAGGAAAGAACTCATGTTATCTGACTAAGAAAGTCTTAGTCTTCAGAGAAAAGGGTCAATTTTGAGCACATCTTTGTCTTTGTCACTAATATTTGTCCCCCAGAATAGATCAGCCCCTCATTGATTCATATCTTAGGCCTACAAACCACAATAAATCTGTAGATGGAAATTTAAAAACCTTGTTCACTAAAAATTCTGTACAGCAGCTTTAGGGTAAATAAGCATAAAATGATGATTAAGAGGAGGAGGAGGATGGTTATGAACTAACACTAAGTAAAACAAAAGGAATGCTAGGGTTCACCTTGCAGCAGAACGCCAAAGAGTTTACCATCCTAAGGAACATGCTTCCTCATCTCTATAAGACGATATTGTTGTCCAATGAACAAAGCAGCGATCTGTGAATGTTGGGCAGGAGACAGTGGCACAGCACTATTGCTTAGCAGGAAGAGAGGATGTCAGACCCCTCAAGAAATACTTGAGTATACTTCCCAGAAATACCTGGAGGTGACCCTAAGGTGGACTAAAATATTGCATTAAAAGTACAGGTGAGGGCTTCCCTGGTGGTGCAGTGGTTGAGAGTCCGCCTGCCGATGCAGGGGACATGGGTTCGTGCCCTGGTCTGGGAAGATCCCATATGCTGCGGAGCGGCTGGGCCCGTGAGCCATGGCCGCTGAGCCTGTGCGTCCGGAGCCTGTGCTCCGCAACGGGAGAGGCCACAACAGTGAGAGGCCCGCGTACTAAAAAAAAAAAAAAAAAAAGTACAGGTGAGTGTTAGATGAATTAAATTATTACTAAAACTGTGAATCCTTACTATTCATAAGTTGGAGTGGTCAACAGAAACTCAGGTTGTATATGCAAGCTTCACATATACAACATTTTTTTAAATGTATATTTTAGTAGCTACTGAAAGGACTCTTGATGAATCTGATATCTGATGTAGGATAACTCTATCCAAATCACTTGGTATCTTATTCAAGCAAGTTTTGTTGTGTTTGCTTTTTTTTGTTTGTTTGTTTTTGATGGTACCCAGAAGTGTACATACTAATTGAATAGCAGAAAGGAGGAGGTAAAAATAAAGAATCTTCTTTGGGATCTAAAAAGAAATTGACTCCAATCTTGGGACTGAAAGTCCATTACATATTACCATTTGGGAGACAACCATCCAACCGTGCATTCACAAATATAAATTATTCTAGCATGCTAAACTTTGTAATGGCAATTATCATAGCTTGTAAGATTGAGAGATGTGTAATACAGAGTACCCCATTGCCCCAGAAAAAAAACTTTCCATAAATTTGTACCTTAGTTGATACCTTGATTTTTCTACCCTACACTTTGATTTGAAGCTTCAGTACAGTAACCTGGTAAATAACAAATTATATTAATTACATGAATATGTCTTTCTCAAATTCTATAAGCACTGTTGTGGGAAAGAAAAAATGTATAAAAAATGATATCCCATTTAAATATATATTACCTTCACATAAAGTGTTTAAAAAGTAAACTATTTTTGAAGGCATACGTAGTTACTAAAACTACGAGGAAAGCAAATTTAAGGTAGTAGTTACCCTATGTGGGGAAAGTGTACTTACTGTGGTCTTATGGAATGTTGGAAATGTTATATTTCTTGGCTATTATGTCTATTTGTTAAAATGTAAATTTGTTTTATGTACTTTCCTGTATATGTTCTCTATTTCATAGTTAAAATATTTTTAAAATATTCTCCATCTTCTGTAAGCAAAATAAAACATTTATGGGCTTGATAGGAATGGCACCGTACAATTTTGAGACAATAGATCTCACAAGCTGTCAAAACAGCATAGTGTCCTTGGCAAAGTTTCTTCATTTTATTGTTGGGGCCTCTTATGTTAGTAGAATAATATTGATAATCAGTGTTGGTTTTTAAAAAATTATTACATGATGGCTGTTTATACCCAGATATCTTATAGAGAGTTTTATAAAATACCCCTTTGGTTTTTTAATCACAATCCTCCCGCTGTGATCACTGTAAAAGGCAACTGAACTGGGCTTAACTGAGACAAATCTTAGAGATGGACTCCAGGGTGCATTTTCTATGCATCATCCTCACCTCAGTGAAAACCTCTGTGTTCTTGTTAAATATCTAAACTAGTAAAGCATTCCTCAGAGATGTGCTGATAGGATTTCCCCAGGGTCTAAATGCCTGGTGTCTCAAATCAGCCACGTTGATATTTATTTCTTCTTTCTCAGGCTTTGACTGCCATCTGTCAGTCAGATGCAGATCCAGTTCTCTGGGCAGCCCCGTTTGGTGTTGGACTCATCTCTGCGGGCTGGCTCTTCCTTTCTGACACACTCTGCTGCAGCCGCTCTGGCAACATCTCTTTCCCTGGAGACAGGAATCCTTCCAAGGTTTAAGGTAAGCCTACCTGGATTATTTACTACCATGATAAGGGACACTTATCTAGGATAGTGTGAAGAATAACACCTCCTCCCTTCTCAAGGGTCAGTCACTCTTTTTGGCTCTCCAATTATATGATAGAAAGTAGCTTTTCTAGCTCTAAAGCTACATGTTCTCCCTGCACCAGTGCCACCAACTATCAATTTCACATTCTCAGGCATCCAACTAAGGTTCAAACTGCTGTGTCTGGATGAGTAGAGTTCAGAAAGGCTACAGGGTACATCATCATAAATGTGTAAAGTACTTATAGAAAGGGCATGAGAGAATGAGGAAACATTTCTGAGCAACTATTTCCATTTTTATAAAAATCCACTCAGAACATCGTAAATAAGACCCAAAGCCATATAAAATTGTAAACTCAACTAGGCAAACTGGCAAAACATTGAAGGAAATTATCTACCTATTCATTTTGCCCAGATGAACCTGAACCCTTGCCTTCCCCCTTTTTATCATCTTTCTTTTAGCATTCAGTAACTTTCTAACAAATCCCAGCTCTATGAAATTCCCTTTAATCCCGCAGCTGCACTCTAAGAGGAGAGAAATTTATTAAAGCTCTTAATCCAAACTCTCCCATTCTGTGTCTAATTTCTCTAAAATTATTACTTCAGCTATGTTTTACTTAGGTAATTTAACCAACTAGTCCACAGACATGGGATCCTGAATGTCAGTAGATTCTTTCATTAACCTAATGAAACCTGCATTTTAACAGCAATAATGGATAAGAAGTACCATAACACATGACCAAAAAAAAAATTAAATAAAAATTTAAAACTCAAGAAAATCTTAAACTATTAACAAACATTTAAATATTAGGGCATTAGTGAACTGGGGTGGGGGGAAAAAGAGAAATAGAACAAGTTTGCCACAAAAGAAGAAACAAATAAATGAAGCAAATGATGATTCTAGCCACACTATGATGTAGACTCTGGAGAAGAAACAAAATAAAAGATAATTGCTCAGAATAATTGGCCATTATGCTCACACTTAGAAAATTTCAGTTCAATCATTCTGGAAGAAAAAAGTTATAATTTGATAACTCTTTTACATATAAAAGATTTTTATTTCCCTTTTCAAAGACTTTAGGGAATATGCAATTCATAAGAATAATATAACCTATTGCTAATTAAAGAAACTTCAACTAAAATAAGAGAATTGATAGCTCTGATTTCTACCTGTCAAAGGACTCCTGCAATTCAAGGGGCCAGTATTATAGAATCAATAAATTCTTTCTGTTCACTAAAACCAAGAAGAATGTGTTGGCTTTAAGAGGCTAATTTGAGGGCCACAAAGTGTATCTGTGGTGTTACAAACCAAGGCCCAGGAGATAATAAAGTAGCCAAGATCTAAAAAGAACAGAGAAGCTCAAGACATAAGGTCAGTATAACTAGCAATTATAATGGTGGGTTATTATAATATGAAAATGGCATAGCTGGATCCAAAGAAATACAGAAATTAAACATACATAAAAGTGACAAGAAATAATTAGAGGTGAAACCATTGATCTTGTGGGCTCAGGGCCTGGAGGCAGCCAGTGGCAGCTGGGAATTGGGCTTCTACCAATGCCTCGCCTTGGATGGCGAGGCAAGCCTGGCTCACTAGGTAAATCCAGAAAGTGAAGTGAAGCATTGTTAATTCCCAGAAGGATCCTGAAACCAAATCTCTGTTTTAAACTATAACCAGGCATCTCTGGAATATAAAGATATAGCGTTGTAAACAGAACTAAGCCATGTTACCAACTAGACTTGTGAATGAATCTACAGTATCTTCACATCATCCAAGGGCATCATTTTTTAAAGTGCCTTTAAGAGACTGGGTTCTGAACTCAGGTCTGTTAGAGAGAATGGAAGAAACTTAACAAAGGGGAGGGAGGGGGAAGAGGAAAGATTAGAGGAAAGGAAAAAAGCAATAGAGCAAAAGAAAAATAAATGCAGTTAAAGTGAAGCTTGAACACTAAAATTCCAAGAAACATGAACATATTTAGTGTTAAGAAACTTCTTTAAAGTTAAAACTAATGATGTAGTAAAACAATAGAAGATAGAAGTGAGCATAAAAGTTTTTCCCTGATAGTTAAAGCTTGATAACATCTAGGTTGTGTTTCTGAAGATGACAAAAGTAGTGAATTATTTTTCACATCATAATAAGTATTTATGACTATGTATGTAGGATTTTAAAGAATAACCACACAGTAACATATTTTACAGTTTATAATGAGAAGTGTAGAAAGTAGAAGGGAAGAATATATGGAAAAGAAAATTGAAGAAAAGTCAGGAGAGAAGAAAAAGGTAAAAGGGGTGGGTAAACAGAAAGCAAAAATTATAAATATGGTAAGAATTCTAAAGATATAAGGAATCCCAACTTGTGTAATTTTTCAATCACTAGTTGGACAAAGAAAATTTGCCTTATAGTTCGTTTGCAAGAGAGAATTATAAAATGAAATTTTCAAAATGAAGAAAATATCTAAGGTGGACACAATAGGAAATCGATCATTTCAGCAAAAAAATCAATAAGAATTAATCAATAATTGATTCATAAAATCTGATGTAGCAAAAATATTTTAGGATAAAAATAGAGCTCAAGGAAAAATTGAAAATAGTAAGAAATAATATTACATAATAATAAAAAAGCAATAGGCTAAGAAGAAAAAATAATATTATATCTTACATGATCTTAAAATGTCACTCTACAGATCACTAATAAGTTGCAAGGGGAAAAAAAATAGTAGCTACAAAGTTGAGAAATCAAACAGGCAATAAATAATTAAATCATCAATGAAGCATAGATGGACACCTCCAGGTATGATATTCTAACAAAGACAAGATAATTCTTATAAGGTATTCAGGCAAGAAATGCATCTGATTCTAGTACTGAGAAAACTTCAGACTGACCCAAAATAGAATGTATTCTTTAACTGTATCAATATTGTAGGAGCAAAAAAGGCTGTGTGAAACTTTAAAGGTTAAAATAGATGAAGACATGACACTTACATGCAGGGCCTTGCGTGTCGGTCCTGACCCCTGAACACAAACAGCAAGAAGAGACTGAAGAAAGAGGCAGACCCCTCAAGATTGATAGGTGGCAGGTTTAACAAGCAAGGGAACTTATATATGAGGCTTGTCTTGGGTGGCCATAAGACGAGTAGATCTCTACACCTGCCTGCCAGAATCTTAAAAGTTTATACAGAGGCCTTAACTGGGTTCAGTCACATATACCATCCAGATGGTCTCAACAACACAGTGCTCTCTCAAGGCTGCATCCTTGAAATGGCTCCCACTATGGGTAGAACATACACTCCAAAGAGAGGGGAGGGGGTGAGGAGGCTTTGATTGCCCAGGTCCAGCTCATGGGACAACTGATGGTCACATCCTTTCAATGACCTATTCCAACATCACATCACATACTGGAGGAAAACAAATACAATGAAACACATTGAGCCAGGTGACAAAATTGAAACATGAATGGTATATTAGATAAAAATTTGTGAAGACACATGCACCCCAATGTTCATTGCAGCACTATTTACAATAGCCAGGACATGGACACTTCATAAGTGTCCATTGACAGATGAATGGATAAAGAAGATGTGGTACATATATACAATGGAATATTACTCAGCCATGAAAAGGAACAAAACTGGATCATTTGTAGAGATGTAGATGGACCTAGAGTCTGTCATGCAGAGTGAAGTAAGTCAGAAAAAGAAAAACAAATATCATATATTAACACATATATGTGGAATCTAGGAAAATGGTACAGATGAACCTATTTGCAGGGCAGGAATAGAGACCCAGACATAGAGAACGGACATGTGGACGTGGGGTGCAGAAGTGGGGGGTGGGATGAATTGGGAGATTGGTATTGACATATATACACTGCCATGTGTAAAACAGCTAGTGGGAAACTGCTGTATAGCACAGGGAGCTCAGCTCAGTGTTCTGTGGTGACCTAGATGGATGAGATGGGAGAGGGAGTGGGAGGGAGGCCCAAGAGGGAGAGGATATACGCATACCTATAGCTGATTCACTTAGCTGTACAGAAGAAACTAACACAACATTGTAAAGCAACTCTACCCCACCCACCAAAAAATTGTGTATCACTTTTAAACTTAGTGAAGTTGTAAACTCTGGTTGTATAAGCAAACTCAAGTGAGCTGTAGACTCCTGAGCCATGTTTATTATTGTTGTTTCAGGCTATTAAGTTTTGAGTTGTTTGTTATGTGGCAGTATTTAATTTGTGCACTTAATTCTCCTTATATCAGTTATTAGATCACCACTTCACTTCCTAAAAAGGACTGATCTTGCTGCTAAACTTATAGAAGTTTTATGCTTACTAATGATGAGAAGCTTCATTTATTTTTCAGTTTATGTAGTTATTCAACGAACATTCATTAAGCACCTACTACTTGTAGGGCGTTCTCAAAGGCCTTGGGACGTTGCGAAAAAAAATGCTTGTGTTCTCCTGGGCAATGAGCAAGGCTGTTTATTATTAAAATATTGCTTATGACTCCCCCTGCAGGAGTACCTCCTACAAAACTTAGGTTGTGGTAAGTGTTATGTGGCTTATCTAAGGTTATGTGGCTTACTGAAAATCAGATAATGCTCAGTCGATAAAGAATTGGTTATAAATATGTCTCTGTTGGGGGAAAAACAAGGTAATTAAGGGTTAGAATGATTGTAGTCAGAATGAAAAAAATAGTTTCCAATGTTTTCTTCCTTTTGTGTTTTCCCCACAGAGATGAGAATAGCATGTGAATTGATTAAACAATATTTACATATTGCATTTGACTGATGTGTCTCTACTCAACCACCACCTTTTGTTTATTACGTTGTTTTTGAAAAATACTACTGCATCAATTGTACTCTAAAGTTCCTTCATTGTGGATTTTATTGATTGCGTACTCAGGGTGTTAGTTAACATGTTCCCCTGCCCCTTGCATTTTCTGTAAGCTAGATATTAGATGG